ACAACAGCGCGCCGACAACAGCGCGCCGAAAGAAGCGCGATTTAAGTTAAGGTTAGGGTTAGGGTTAGGTTTAGGTTTTGGGTTAGGTTACAGCGCGCTTCTGTCGCCGCGCTGTTGTCGGCGTGCTTCAGGGCTCCTTCGTCGCGCGGTTTTGTCGGCGCGGTTTTGTCCGCGCAGTTTAGTGAGGTACACTTTTGTCGTTCGCGCATTTGTGGTGGAACCTCCAACCTCATGTATTGCTGTCATATTCCTGACTCAAGAAGTGTATTGACAATTCCCCATCTCTCCAACACAGAGAATTCTTTACACAAAGTATTTGTTCTGGATATTTCTTGCTCTTTATGCCTTTTCCAAGATGTCCAGTTGAACTATGCAGTGACCTAGCAGGGGTTGGGAGGGGGGTCTCTAAATGCAGTTTAAGTGACTTATCAGCAGGACCCACGTCGTTTCCTCACATATAATTTATGCCATCTAAAAGCCTAATCGGGCAAATCAGCCTTCAAAACGGAAGAATATATAAGTGTATATTTTTTAAGGCGACACGCGAGTTGCTTTTGGCTAGGATTTCAATTGCCGGTTACTTTGCCACGACGGCAGTCTTTTTAGACAAAAGCAGGCGGCCCATTGCTTTTGCGGGCACTACGGGACCCACCTTGTCCGAGGACTCCCTCTTCCTCTCCTTTTTAATTATTTTGAATGGCTGATTTGGCGGCGTTGTTGTTTCTTTCTTATGCAAAACCCAAGTTTCCCTACAGGCGGGGAAGGGGGGGGGGAGCCGTGCGCACCTAATTTCCTGGAGAGCTGCTTTTTTCGAAAAAGGGGGGGGGGAAAGCAACGTCCGGGCAGACGTAATTCTCAGCGGGAAATTCCATCTTTCCGCCGCCCCCTCCCTCCTTTTCCCGCAACTCCGGTCTGGGTTGGGCAGAATCTTTGCCCCCGTTACGTTTCCGGCCCGCTGCCTCCCGTCCTGGCGGCGTCACCGCTTCGCTTTCTCCTCCGCGGCGCTGCAAGGTTGCATCAAAGGCCGCCCAAATTCCCCAGAAACTCCTTGATCTCTGGGGACCAGCCAGCAGCCACGTCACTTTACTGGAAGGCAACCGACCCAAGTAACTCCGTCGGTGCGTGCAAAGCAGCAGCAGAGCCGCTCCGCCTACAGGCTAGCCGGCCCTTTACTGGAAGAGGCGTGGCTGTTGCAGCGAAGAACGGGGAGGCTTTCTGGTCCGGCTCCAGACGAGGTTGGCCCAGGCCAAGCGCCCGATCGGAGCCGAAGGGAACATAAAGTCCCGTCCCCCCCCCTTCCACTCTCCTCCTTGCATCTTGTTTATAGTTTATACGGTAGGCCGTCGGCCAGGATCATAGGAATATGGGTAGTAGTCTCGAAGCTCCGGCCCGGCTTTCCTCCTCCTTAAATGGCTTGCGCCGCTTGGCGGTGGTGGCTACGAAGAAATGCTGTAGCTCCGCGCCGAAAGGGCTGCAAAAGAGGGCGGCGGTCATTTCCCCAGATGCTCTTCTTGCTGGTGCGATTTTTTCCCCCGTGTAAATTCCAAGTCGATGCTGCGCCTCTTGCTTTACTTCCAAAGAAGAGCCAATTCGGAGCTGCGTGGAGTCCACGTGCCGCAGCCTTAACAGGGCGCCATTCCCAACGCCTTTACTGGGAAATCGGGCTCCCTGGGTTCAACAGGCGGGGGGGGGGGCTGCTTTGCATAACAATGACGCGGGCGTAACTCTTCAGTTGGAGCTTTTTGCTCTTTCGGACGAACGCAAAGGGCGAGTAAACGCCAGCGGCCGTCAGTCAGCCGGTTTTCCCATAACTTCTGAAGAGCTGACAGTAGCCATAACGTATAGTATAGAAACGAATAAGGGCTGGACAAGGAACTGCTCCGGATTGTAGAGTTCAGATTCTAGGATTCCGGGTTGTAAATATAGAGCAGGCGAGCTCAGGAAAGCAACTATGAGAGCCGATGATCAGGAAACCAACTCTGAGATCTGATGAGATCGGAAGCCTCGAATATTAGGTCATAGGGCAAGATCAATAACAATGCATCGATTTTAATGGGATTCTATGCGGTATGAAGCTCCAGCAGAACCTCCTGGGATCTCGCCCGTGTTTCTTTTCTCGAATTCGCCACCCTTGTCGGATTTTTTCGTTGTTACTATATTGACTGGAAACCCACCCCACCTCACCTTTTAACATCCCATCTAAATCCAATATTTGAGTAAAGCTTCGCAGCCTCCGAAATGCAACTCCCCCATCTCCCAACTCTTCCCCGCCTGTCCTGCTTCCGAGTAGCCCTCGAGTTTTATGCCTTTATATTTCTCACTCAGGACGATCTGCCCCCCGAGAAAGAACCGGGGGGCAATCAGAAGGGCCTTCTTTGAAAGCCGCTCCCTCCGCATTTTCCATTAAGATTAGTCCCTTCGTTTGAGATTTGATCTGCGGCGGGGCGAGCAGGGAATCCCTCTCTGAGCGCATCACTCTAACCAAGGAAACCCGCGCTCACGTAGTACAACGCAAATGACCATCTTTGGCAACCGCGACCTGCGACAATGGAACAGACTAAACCGAGACGTGGGGCGGGGGGGGAGATAGGGGAGGGAAACACCATTCCGGACCAGGCAACGGACTGTCCGGTCGGGCGGCATGGCGAATGGGCGTGAGAACGTCTGCCTTGAATTGCCTGCTTATCCCCCTTCCAATCGTCTGCATTCAGTAAACTGGGTCGGGTTGAATGGTTCGACCGATTTAGCCCTCCTCCTGTCTCCTCCTCCTCCCCCCCACCAGTGGGAGGCTCCGCGTTGCGAGTGGGGGCGTGGCCAAGTTGCAAGTTTGACGCTGGAAGTCCACATGGTACAGATCTTAAGAAGAGGAGATGCAATGAGGCTCGGGATTTGAACTAATGCCATCGCCCTGACTCATCCAGGGAGAGTAAAGGAGCTCAGAAAACAAGGATACTAAACTAGAGAGGCGCTTACTCCAAGGGAAAGAGAAAGGGAGGGGGGTACGTGTAAGCAGGGGGGGACGACAGAAGAGTTCGCTTTCATGGCCGAGAAGAGCCAAATCCAGAGCTAGATCGATAATTCAGCCGAATCTTTTCAACAATAAGTAAATAAAGCGCCTCAAATCCCGGGCTGAGTCATCGAGTCCAGTTCGAGCAGAAAGACGGCACTTTTCTGAAGGGCTTAATTATACAGGAGGCAACGATCCTCCTTAAAACTACGGAGAGATCAAGACTTTGATACCAGTAGGCAGGCAAAGGGGAAGGAAGGGGAAACAAGACACGTCCAATTTTCTTTAGAAATAAAGGCGCGTTTGGAAAGAGAACTCGCTTCTTCTTTTTCTTTTTTTTAAAAAAAAGCCTTTTCATAGTTATGCTGACGTTCTTAAGAGACTCGATAATTTTGCTCTACAAGCAGTGAATTTTGCATTTTTATACGTGGGAGGTTTGGGTGATTCTTTTTTCTTTTTTTAATCCCACGGTCCTGTTTCGAGAGAGAGAAAATCAGGACTTGCTTTAAAATAGAATCAAAATCCAAACTGCCAGCTGCATCCGTCTCCACCTGAGCGCGCTTGAAATCTAAAGCATCAAATTATACGATTGGAAACCAAGACAGGAAGGGACTGAGCAAGAGGGAACAACAGCTCGAAATATTTTTTTTTCTCATTATTATTCCTCTCCTGCTTGCACCTTGGACAATGTACCAGGACTTTCCGACGAATTTTGATACCTCCTCTCGAGGCAGCAGCACTTCTCCAGGGCATCCGGAAACTTACTCGAGCATCACAACTCAACAGGTAGGGGCCAGCCCGAGCACCTTGGTCGCCAAGTTGCCCAAATCCGAGTTCTGACAGCGAGGCTTTCCTTTTACCAGGACACGTGTACTTTCTCTCCTCTTCTGAAGTCATACTCTCTCCCATTTGTGATCCCGTAACAGGAATTTGTCTTTGGGCAAATAGGGGAGGGGGCTTTGCGTGCATTTTATTTTAATGTGGCTTTGCGTGGTTCGGGTCTCTGTTTATTATGCTGATTATTATTTGCTTTTCTTCCTCCTCCTCAGCGCCTCTCCGTCGCACGCTTCCCCGCGAGCGATCTGTGCCCCCCCTCCTCCCTCCGCGGCTGGCAGCAACTCCTTAATCAAATAGTAAAGTTCGCTAACCACACCCCTGTCCACCTCCTGTGTGCGCGCCTCGACCTCTCCCTCAGTCGGAGATTAAGAGGGGAGCAGCGGGCGACGCGTCTCCTTTGGCCTCCAGTCCAATAGCCGCCTCTCAGCGCGCTCACACCTTAAAAGGAGGCGGAAACGGCCGCGGCTTTTCCAGAGTTGGGGCGGTTGCGGGCGAACGAGTCCTTGGAAGTGCAAGGCGGGAGAGAGAGAGAGCGAGTTGGTAGGCAGGAGGCAGCCCCTTCGGAGTGACAAGCCCAATGCGACCCTGAGCCACCGATTTGGGCGGCGCGCCGGCTAAGTAAGCGGGGTTGGGGGCGGGCGGTCCTCTCCCCTTGCCTTGTTTTCCTTTTCTTCCTAGGAAAAAGAGAGCTTCACGGTTGTCCGTGCGCTCGCCATCCCTTTGCCCGGACTCTTTCAGTTCAGCAGAACCCGAACCCCTGCGCCCCTTGGGCGGTTTAGCTTTCCGCAGCCAGTGCTGGCCTCCGGTGGAGCCAAAGGCGATGTAGGGAGGGTGGGGGGTTGTTTTGGTACTTTCGGGTTCTGGGGTCTTTTTGGGGAAAGGTTGTATCAGGGGAGATCAGTGTGTCTTGTGGTTCTCTAAGGAGGAATCTGAGGGAAGGGGGAGCCTTTCTGGGCAAGAGTCTAAAAATCCAGGGAGAAGGGAAAGCCTGAGCGGCTATCTCCAGGTACAGAGCCGTGAGCGCCAGGTCAAAGGTGTGGCTGGGTATGGCGGTTGGTGGGAGTGTTTTTCTCGGAATAAAATGTCTAATTGGGAACAAAAGAGAGGAAATAATGAGTAGCCTTCTGGAACTGTTAACACAGGTTTCCACTGGCTGTAAATAGTATAAAAATGGGCTATGTGGGCCGCTCTCTTCAATCGTTGCCATTGGGAAAGAATGCCAAAATGTCTGGTACCTCAGCTGAAGGTGAGCCAAAGGAAGAACTTGGTTTCTTTTGTGGACTTTTAAGAGTCGAAAGGAGGAGATGAACCAACTGGGTCTTCAGGTCTATTCAGTAGAAACCCCTCCCTAACTGAGCAGTTTGCAAACAGCAGGCTAAATGTAGGGCTGGCCATCTATAACGTTTCTTTGGCTTGAATTTTTCCCTTATGGTATTTCCAAAAGTACAGCTATTGTGGTTGTGGGGGAAAGATTCTACAGAGTAGAAAATAATCGACCATAAGCCAGGAATCCCCAACCCTTTTAAGCATTGGGCACATTTTAAGAGAAAGTTATATGTGTTCTTAATAATTTGGAGAGGGCAGTAGGACTTGCACATTTACAAATGCCCACCAAGATAGTTAGGGCAAGTCACAAAACTCCTCTATTCTACAAAACAGAAATTGTAGGCTACCTATGAACTTTACCTATGAAGACAAGAAGAAATTCTGGACCTCCAATCACAAAATTTGTGCTTTGAGCTCATAGACTTCTACTCCAGTACCCATTTCACAGAGGGCAAATTGAGGAGACTTAGGCTGAGAGATAAATAACTTTGCCAAATGAATACAATACAGAGGTGTGGTCTGAATGTCGAGTGCCAAAACACGTATCTGCCTGCACAAAGCACAACAAAATACTTTTTTCCCACATAATGCAAACAGGTTATGTTTAAAGAAACACACAGATCATTATACTCCCACATAGAAGAAAATCTCAGACAAAAAGTACACCACACCAAAACATACAAATGAGCTAACATGCATCACATGATTATGTTGGAAATGGTGCTTTGCTTTGCAGCAAACTATTTCCCAACAGAAAACTAATGTTAAGTATATAAAAAAAGTAAAAGATTTTAAAATTAGAAGGAGCAATGAAATGAGCCTTAATGCTTCCAAGGGACACATCTGTGAGCCCAGTGGTACCCACATTAAAGGCCTATATAATCCCAGGCTAGTTGAGGCTCACCTGGACCCTTGTGAGACTTAATCAGGGTAAAAGGTCACTTAAATGACAGAAAGAGGGAATTAAGTCAGTTGAAATGCATGTGACTTTATGGAAAGATATATTTTCTTTATATGGGTTGATCATTCCTCTATTTTTTTGTTGTAATATAGTTGCCTAAGTTTCTTATTTAAGAAATATAATTTTAAGGAGAGAAAGGAAATTGTGAAAGGTACTAGTTCTTGGGAACAGTACAGGTCTATTCCCAGGAGAAGCCACAATGGGAATCTCCTTTGAACTGCATCAGTTCCAAAGTTCCTTCAACTCAAATGAATTAAGTTTATGAAATAATCATTTTTAGGGTTTGGAAAAAATAAAACAAAAATAGAGATGTCTTCAGGGAATATGGCGCCAGCTCACATAACTGTCAGGACAGAATTAAGGATTTGGAATGTGACTGTAATGCATTTGTAATACCATTGTGTGAATCTAGAAAAATGGAATGTACAATGGCCTCTAGAAAATTATTTCAAAGTTCCAAAGAAAGATAGATTATTTTCATTATGTAGCAGTTGGCCTATAAGAAGGAGCCTAGCAAATTGTATGTGGGCAAAATTCTGTTACACTTCGGCAGTTCACAAAATTAGATATTTTTATGAACATTTAATGTGCTGATTTTAGTGTTAAAAATTGGCAATAATGTGTCTGTATTTTTTTTGTGTTTATTAGTGTCTGAACTGATTTTGTATCCTGGATGAAAAATATGAATCAATAGTCGTAAGAAACGGGAAAATATTGGTTGTTTAGTGAAGGTGGGTTTACAGAGATAATATGCTTCTGCCTCACTATTTGGAAATAAGAAATTTTCCCCTCTCTTTTCAAATAATTATCTTAAATTTTCCAATATATTTTTAAAATGCAAAATGTTTCCTTAATATTTGTAATGGTTAGCATTTTTTTACTATGACACCCACCCCATTTATTTGTGCTTTATTTGGTAGTAGTAGATTTGCAGTGGACCGAATTTGCAGGGTTATGGAAATAACTTCTTCAAATTTCTAAAGAACCACATATCTCTTTCTGTGAATCTTCAAATAAATTGATTTCTGATTCAAAGATTTCCTTTTTCTCCTACTGTACAAACAGAATTTCCATGTCATTTTTAGGATTTCAAGGAAGCTGCAATAGAAATTACAACTCTGACCAGAATAAGCTTGATTGAAATAATTACATTTACTTTCCAAAATGGGTTTAATGTTAGTATCATTAGCTTGATTTATAACTTAATTTAACCCAGGTTGTCGAACTAGATACTATACGCGCCAAGCAAAATGGTGTTTTCCATTGAAAACCTAGTTAAATTCAAAATCTAATGTAGGATTACATATTTGTTTTTTAAATTTCAGTATGTTAACGATGGCAGACGTTTTGTATGTTTTTGTAAATGCAGTTCAGCACTTTCTTTTTAATCCCATCTAATAAATGGCCAGACTACAGACCCAATTTACTGGGGGAAAAAACATTTTTACAATGGATTGTAAATCATTTGTTACATTGAAAAAACGTAAAGCAAGAGATATTTTTTTCTAGATTAGACAAAGTGTATTACTGTCTTTGTTGCTCTATTGCAAATTAGTGGAATCTGCAAGATGAATTTTACTTTTTAAATTATGGATTTTCTTTTTCTTTTTTGCAGCTCTTTTCTTTTATTCTAGCTGGAATCATTTTCCCTTCCATTAACTCTAATTCTGTTTCATGAATCATTTTGGTCTGTGCTGAAAATGCTGTTTAAATGATACAGTAATTTCCATAGGCAAAATGCAACACCCCCCCCCCCTTCCTATCCTTTCAAAGGAGTGGATTCAATTTGGTTTCTACATTTTTTAAACAGTTTTTCCCAGAAGGAATTGGAATGTCCTTTTTTTGGTATCTGCTTTATCTTCAGGCAAACAAGAGAGGGCAATTACTGTTTTCCTTTGGTATTCAGACATTCCTTAGCTTGTTGGTATTTATTGTTGATTGGATTTTGACCTTCAGAATGCAAGTTCTTACAGGATCTGAGCACCCTGACTACATTTTTGGGATACTTTTTTTTGGTCAGTGTCTGGTCTTGAATGATGTCGGAACTTAAAGAATGAGGAATATTTCCTGTTGGAACTGAAGTCTGATGGCCGGTTTGTTCCCCGCCTTTTTTCCTCTCAATTTGCATCTCTTTCTCTCTCTATTTCTCTTCCCGCCACCCCCAGCTGCCTTTTCATCATAGGCAAAAATTATGGCTTCTCTGAAAGGCATTGCACAATCTCCTCTGTTACACAAACTTATGATATTTCATAACATGTTTACATCGGTTGTCTTTGCTTTCCTCCCCCCTCCCCCCTTTCTTATTACTTTTGCAGTAAAACAGCAACATGGGGAATAAAACATTATTTTTAGTATAAACTATAGATGCTTTCCCCCCCATAATTGCGCTGTGTTAAACTTTGCTAGTAATTCCAGTCTGCAAGATTCCATACACTAAAGAATCCCCCCCTCCTTTTTTTTACCAGAAATGACTCTCTCTGCCCAGCTCCATAGCAAAGACATCTCTTTGGTGCCCTCTTTTGGCTAATCCAGATAGATTTCCAAAGATTATAGATAATGGGAAGGAGAAATTAACAAAAAGTGCCTGGAATGGGGCGATTTGTTTGTTTCAAATATACAGCATATTAAAAAATACCTGTGTGGTTCATATTATTGCTTTCTC